AAGCCTATCAGGGTGCACCAAACTTTTGGTGCCTTGTTGACACAGAAAAGTACAGTGGTGTGTACACAGCAGCTATGAAGGTTGCCAGCCTGTTTGGTTCAACCCATCTTTGTGAATCAGCCTTTTCTGACATGAACTTCATCAAGAACAAACACTGGTGAACAGCATGCAATGCCAGGTTTCCCACTAACAAAGAAAGCCATATTAGATGTTCTCAGTGGCAACATTACAGTGTCATGTCAAAGTTGAATTTAATTATTGAAAAACAAATGTGTTAAGTGTAACATGTCACAATTTGCTTTAAAATGCTGCCAATAAGTTCTGTAAAATTTGAAAGTTGATTTTTGTATGTCACAGTGCATGATTTGTTAAAAATTGTTAGTGGTAAGTGAAAATGTTGTAGAAGTGATCACTTGAAAATGTAAATACTTGCAGAGATGTATAGAAATAAAGCGTTGCATATTGATATTTATCTGTTTCCTACCTGGTTTCCTACTTGCATTCTTTATAATTATGGTGAAAAATAATTAACATAATTAGTGTCTTTACATGGATGAATATCATTAATTATTAATGATAACACATAATTAATTTAAATTGAGGAAATTTGTTATTTGAGAAGTGTGTGTCAAACTGGTAGCCCTTCACATTCAGTACCCAAGAAGTAGCTCTCACTTTCTAAAAGGTTGGTGACCCCTGACCTAAGCTGTGCTGAGGTGAGCTTGATCCAGCCACTACCTCTGAACCTCGCACTACTGCTATCAGACTTCTTCCCCACCATTGACATTCCATGTACCTGTTTTGGCAGCCTCCATAACTGACTATATTATTTTAATGATATTATGCTGGTTGTATTAATGTCAGTTTGGGTCTTTGCAGATATTTGGCTAAGAATTACATTACCTTTGAAGCATAAGTAAGAATACCAGTGATCATGAATCAGCTGTTAAAAAATTCACCTATATTTGTTTGATTTGTGTTTAGGCCAACATCATGTGTACTTCCGTCTGTAAGTGTGTTGGCTGTAGGAACTATGACGCAGGCCCACAAACTGGCTCCAAAGACAAGACTGTCAATGCGAAGGACAAGTGAGTCATGAAAGTATTTCTTTTTGATAAGCCCACACAAGAAAATCATAGAGAATTGGTATGATTAGGCAAACATAATCTCAAACCAGGGTGTGAAATAGTGTCATTGTGTCAACACAGAGATACATAGGTGTCTTTTACGGTTAGTGTGTGAACAAATTGGAAGTAACACTCTTTTCAAAATGGCCAGTATCAGTGTATCAAAGCATCAACACCAGAGACACCTTATGCATTTCTCAGAGACCAGACAGCAGTTGGTGTCAGTTGTTGCAAACACAGGTGTTGTACCATGCTGCATCACCATGCCTTTTCATCAGAGTTTAGCAATTAGTCTAGTAATCAATAACACAGGACGCTTAGCCACATGAGAACCAAGGATGTTCACTAAAGAGGTAAAGTAAAATTGTCATTTTATATGGAGGAATAACATAAGTTGCTACATTTGGGCTTAGTGTTGGTGACGTTCCTGAACCTGGAGCAAATTCTCATGTGATAACCTCACCAACATGTGTAGCTTTGCTCTTAGGTTCAGCACTGCTTCGGGATATCGTGTTGCATATTCACCAGAACTAATACAAAGCGGTACCTGAGTGACCCAGTGAAATGGCCCAATGAGGTCCATGCCAATATGCTCAAATAGGACCTCCATTAAAGGTAACAGGCACAAAGCGCTTTTTGAATGGCCGGCTGGTTAACCAGCTGACACTACACGCACCATCGCTGCACGTCCACGCCCTGCTCAGGCCAACGGCCTCTACTGCGGCCTGAAAACCATCCAGAAGAGGCCTTGGGGTGTTCCCCTACCCACATCCTGCAGAGCATCATCACTGGTGCCAAGGGGGAGTAGCGGCAGAGCAACCAGATTTTCCAGCACTTTGGTCTGCCGCTCAGCCTGGTCCTGCTTAAATTAGGCTTAAAACTTTGCTTTTTGCTTAAGCATATAGTTGTGACTGGATCAGGTGACCCTGAATCCTCCCTTTGTTATGCTGCAATAGGTGTAGGCTGCTGAGGGATTCCTATGATGCACTGTTTCTTCTCCACTCACCTCTTTTCTCTGTGTGTGTGTGTGTGTGTGTGTGTGTGTGTGTGTGTGTGTGTGTGTGTAATTATTATTTGTGCATTTAATCATTACTAATTAGGGTTAAACTCTGGCTCTTTTCAATAGTGGAGCTTTTGATCTATCTCCTTCTGTCCTCCGATCTAATAATCAGAAGGTTGGTGTTCGATCCCCGCCTGCTCCAGACTATATGCCAAATAAGCTTAGGCAAGATACTAACCACAAGGTACTCATTATCCATTTGAGTGTGAATGTTAGATATCAAGCACTTAAATATGTTCTCTCACACTACTGCTGGAGCAGAAAACTTTATGTTAACAAACAGATCAACAACCTAAACAACTCTGTTTAAGTTGTTGATTGCACTAATTCTATGAAAGTGGTACTCATCTACTTAAAATTAGAGGTATTTATGGATTTTTTTTTAAATATGGCTTGAATTAACAAGCCCATTTATTTATTTATTTATTTATTTATTTATTTATTTATCTTATTTAAAAAAATACCAGAGTACTCATGTCTGTGAATGTTTGTTTGTGTGCTCAGGTGGCCTGTATCGGTGATAACCCCAGCTGTACTAGAGGGTGTAGGTGACTGTCTTTTTGCTCAGGCTGAGATGGCTGAGAGAGACACTCAGAGCCCTGCCCAGGCTGAGCACATGGTCCTGTGTGAGTTTGGACGCTGTCTTTCTCAGATTGCTAAAACCATGTTTGAGAAAAAGACAAACTAACACTTGTACACTGTAGAGATGGGAAAAAACGATTGCTTGCAACTTCAGAAAAGTAGACTTGGATGATCTTTATCTGTATATTTACAAGTTGTAATCTCTGGTTTCTGGAAGCTTTTACTGGTCAAAGTGAAATTTGAATAACTTTCTGAAATGTTTGTTGTTAATGTAAATTCATGTCACTGTTTCCTTTTCTTATTTTAAGCTTCAGATTTAGCTTTCAGAGTTGTTACATAAGAGACATGTTTATCTTTTTTTAATTTGTGTATTCTTGTGTTATTTATGTTGTTGTGAATATAGGGCAATGTTTCTATTTATAAATTAGCCTTGAGATAATAAAGATTCTTTGATATCTGGTACGTAGTGTGGATTTATTTTCTTACCAGTCTGAATAATCCTGTGTGGATAATGGTGACGAAATCAAAGTCTATTTGTGCTTTAACAATATTTTTGTTCTACATTTAACTATAAAATAATTCAGGAACTCTTTAAAAAGACAATTTAAATTAGTGATGGCCCATTTGAAGCTCAGGTGCATGTGTCAAAAAAAATCAACACACTGCTTCAGAAACACTGTGCCGAGGGTTGGTTCGTCTGAACAGTCAAGTGATCAGGAAGTTTTGGACATCACTGATTCAGTGGTTTATGAGGAATTGAATCATTGGCGGGATGTGTGCTGTGTTTCAATGGTGATTTTGTGTGAGAGACAGTCAACCTAAGCTAAAACACAAAACTCATGAAAGTCTAGAAAATAACATATTCAGGAACCAGACATCATTATCTTACACTTTCAAAAATAAGTCCAGAACAACAACTCTGACCCAGGGTCCATGACGAGGGTAATCAGCAAACTGAACAAATTAGACCTTATCAGATTATTGACTGATCACCACACTAAATTTCCTGGGATCAGCATAGAAATTGTTGTGATCAGCTGTCAAATTCAGCACTGAGACACTCAACACTTTGAAGCTGGATTTAAGAAAAAAGTGCTTAAAGTTTGCAGAGGAAGTATAGCACTATTATGTGCTAGCAGCGAGAGTGACATTACCGGGTTGGCTGGTTGCTACTAATATAACTGCATTAGTTTAAGTTAGCTAACTAGAGAGTACGATACCGAAGTATAGCAACAATAAAGTCATCTTTATCTCTGTCTGTCAGGGTTCATGGGTTGTTGACCCAGTGTTTCAGTTTGTTCATATTCACTGTTTATTTTCCATGTGTTTCCTGTCTTACTGTGTTAACCACCTGTCTACGTGCGTTATCTCTTGTTCTGCTTCCTGTGTTATAAGTTAGATTAAGTTAAGCTGTGTACTCACCAGTCTCTTATCATCATCATCATCATTAGCCTGTGTATTTAAGCCCTCAGTTTCCCTCAGTTCATTGTCTTGTTATCGTCAATCACACGTGCCAGTTTTCCAGTTGAGTTTGCTCACCCTTCAGCCAGTCAGTCTCATGTTTTGTTCATCCTGCCTTTACATTAAAAAAATGTGCACATCCTTCACCAACCTCTGTTTGGGTCCTCTCTTCTCCACATCCACACCACAACGCCTTACAATGCCTACTTTAAGCCAATCTTCTGAGCTGTTTTCTTTTCCCGATAGCAACTAGATCTGAAAAAGAAAGTGTTACACACATTGAGGCTGCAACACTGTCCAAAGAAATAATCAGCTTGTGTGTAAATAAAGTTTAGGTAGTTGTGGTGGCACCTGATATAAAGCCATTCCTTTCAGATGTACATTTACTATAATGTTTTTTTTTGGTTGTAACACTTCAAAGACACCTTGAACCAGTGTCCAGTCGATAGCACGTTCGCCTTCAGTACACCCAACCGAGCCACTGACTTGGACAAGCACCGGGTCTGGACATGGTGTCTGCAGAAATGCTGCAGAAATGCTCAAGCACGGCGGACAGCACCTGGTCAACGAAATCGCAAAATTACCTCTTTTCATGTGTCACACACACATGAAAGTCATGCATTAATTGTTGTGAAGTCATGCATGTATAACATTTAAATCTCCAGTTTATTAGAATGTATGAGCTGAAAATTAGGGCCATGGAGTCAGATAACGAATGACACAATAAATGATAACGAATGACAGAAACTTTTAGGAATAATAATTTCTGATATTAGGAAACATTTCATGAAAATAGCAGCAATAAAACAGTAAACATATAAAATATCTGTTACTCACTGGGACATTGTTACACATTCACACACAAACACACCACTTATAGACCTCATATAACAGATCCACAATTGATGTTCCTCACTGCACATCACAGTCTTGACGTCAGTCTGTTTTTTAGCTCTTAGTAAACAGGAGTCCTGCCAGGCTTCATGTGGGGCTGGATCGAACATGTTACTCCTGCTTTCCATTGGAGATATAAGCAGACTGGAATATCTTTCTGACCCACACTCACACATGCTGCAACTGGATTGAATGCTATCGCTACAGCAGATATAGTAAGTGGAAATAAGTGTGTGTGTGTTTGTGTGTGTGTGTGTTGTTTTTTTATTAGTTTGGGGTTTTTTTGCTTCTTTGGGGGCATCCTATTTAAAGTAGATTCATTAGCTTTTTTAGTATTCTTTAGTGAAAATGTCATATACACACACACACACACATACACACATATATATGCGTGTGTGTGTGTATGACATTTTTTCATGCCTTTAACTACTACATTATTTTATATTTGGATTTCAATTATTTTACTAGTGGCATTGTTTTTGACTAATAGACACAATTATTTTAATCTACTGTGTTACTGATTTGTCATTAATGAATGAATGACTGACTGAATTATATTAAACTAAAGGCAACAACTTTGTTGACCTATTCTTGAATTTTTGAAAACATTTTATTTACAGATACATGTATATAAAACATGCAACATACATTCAACATGTGCCAATTTCAGCTCTTCGGCATGATAAAGTGATATGAAGCTTAACACAATTCTCTGATTCTTACAATGTTGGCATGTTGATGTACAGGATACAAAATATTGGACAACAAACATTTTTTTTGTTTGCTTTTTATTCCCAGATGACGAAAGTGGCAGTTATCTGGACATGTACTTTAGTCATCTGCCTGTTTGTTGACTACTGTTATGCGCAGAAGGTAAAACTCATAGCCACTCACTTGTTCCACTGATTTTCTGTAACACATATTTTACCAGGAAACATTTGTTGTGTATTTCCCCTTCAGCTGAATATCCACTGGGGCCCTCAGTCCATGATGTACTTGAAGGGCAAACGTGAGTTTAACCACAACACAGACACTTTTTCTCTATATATCGGGGATGTCAAACTCATTTTAGGTCTAATTTAAACTTTTTAAAAAACAATCATCCCAACTTTTTAATAATATGTCTCAATTTTCTGCATTCAGTTTACTGTTATTGCATATGCATTACATTTTGTATAATTTTGTAACACAAAATCTTCACAATGTATTTTGGAATAATAAAAAGAACATCTTATGATTCAAGCTTGTTGAGATAGGGTTGTTTAAAATAAGTAAATCTGGTTATACATGTCAATTCCTATAATTCTCATTTCGCTTGTGCGCCCCACACACATGTTTATTAAAACATATCAGTAACACACTTGATCTCCCGTAGCAGCTCTTGAGTTCAGCTGTTAGTTGTGTTAGCTTTGACTTTTTTATTTTACAGTACATCTGAGAATCATACATGCAAGAAGATCAGTGTTAACACAGTGTCTTCTCCAATTTTTGTTGTCAGATGGCAGGAGGTTTGTCTCAGAGGACAACAACAGTGTTTTGAAGCAGTGCCTCCTTGGCTGGTATGCAGTGATCCGAGGTACAGTATGGCATGATTTTATCTCATTCTGTTTCTGTTTTTTCTGTTTCTGAAAGACTTATTAACATAGTATCCTTAAGCAAAGTTATTCTAAAGGGATATATAAGGAAGAGATGAGGTAGGTGAAATGGGTACTAAAAAAGAAATGGATTCCTCATACCAACTTGAGAATAACAGAAAAGAAAACCAAAAAGTACAAAAAATAAACAGAGAATAACTTGTTTCCATTCAAAATGGAATAAAATTGCATTCACGTAACCCAACTTTGAAGTGCCTTATCAATGGGCCAAAAAATATCAACAACTCTACCCCCCACCACTCCCCACGCCCAATTTATCTCACGTGCTGGGAAATTTCTGTGTTACAGCAGCCATAAATAGACAGATACATGTATAGATAAGTAAAAAATGAAAAAAAAAAAAACAGATCTCAGACAGTCATAGACTTTCTATTTAGACATTAAATAGAAAATGAAAGATTTTCTGAAATTGTCAGTGGAGTTGAAATACACTGAACAAAAATATAAACGCAACACTTTTGTTTTTGCTCCCATTCCCCATGGGATGGACGTAGAGACCTAAAATTCATTCCAGATACACAATATAACCATCCCTCCCAAACAGTGGTCACAAATCAGTCCAAATGTGTGGTAGTGGGCACATCTGCTATATTGAGATAATCCATCCCACCTCACAGGTGTGCCACATCAGGATGCTGATCTGACATCATGAGTAGTGCACAGGTGTACCTCAGACTGCCCACAACAAAAGGCCACCCTGGAATGTGCAGTTTTGTCTCACAGCAAAATGCCACAGATGCCACAAGCAATGAGGGAGCGTGCAATTGGCATGCTGACAGCAGGAATGTCAACCAGATCTGTCGCCCGTGCATTGAATGTTCATTTCTCAACCATAAGCCGTCTCCACAGGCGTTTCAGAGAATATGGCAGCACATCCAACCGGCCTCACAACCGCAGACCTCGTGTAACCACACCAGCCCAGGACCTCCACATCCAGCAGGTTCACCTGCAAGATCGTCTGAGACCAGCCACCCAGACAGCTGCTGGAACAATTGGTTTGCACAACCAAACAATTTCTGCACAAACTGTCAGAAACCGTCTCAAGGACGCTCAACTGCATGCCCGTTGTCCTCATCGGGGTCTTGACCTGACTCCAGCTCGTCGCCGTAACAGACTTATGTGGGCAAATGCTCACATTCGATGGCGTCTGGCACGTTGGAAAGGTGTGCGCTTCACGGATGAATCATGGTTCACATTGTTCAGGGCAGATGGCAGCTGAGAATGTCCCAGTTCTTGCATGGCCAGCATACTCACCGGACATGTCACCCATTGAGCATGTTCGGGATGTGCTTGACCGGCGTATACGACAGCGTGTACCAGTTCCCACGAATATCCAACAACCTCGCACAGCCATTGAAGTGGAGTGGACCAACATTCCACAGGCCACAATTGACAATCTGATAGACTCCATGCGACGATGTGTTGCACTGCATGAGGCAAATGGTGGTCACACCAGATACTGACCGGTTCTGGGTCCCCAGACCCCCAATAGCGCAAAAAACTGCACATTCCAGGGTGGCCTTTTGTTGTGGGCAGTCTGAGGTACACCTGTGCACTACTCATGATGTCAGATCAGCATCCTGATGTGGCACACCTGTGAGGTGGGATGGATTATCTCAATATAGCAGATGTGCCCACTACCACACATTTGGACTGATTTGTGACCACTGTTTGGGAGGGATGGTTATATTGTGTATCTGGAATGAATTTTAGGTCTCTACGTCCATCCCATGGGGAATGGGAGCAGTAACAAAAGTGTTGCGTTTATATTTTTGTTCAGTGTAGATGAAAGTGCTCAGCTGCGTGTGCAGTAATTGGTCGCAGGATGGCCTGAATCCATTAATTATCCACATCCATTCACCACAGCCATGGTCATTTGGAGGACCTCTGCCTCAGGTGATGAAGAAATCCAAACAACATGTTGGTTTCAAATTGCAACAGCAAAGACAAGCTCCCTCTGTGCATTCTAACAGTTTAATATTCAAGCCATAGAAACGTTCCTTCACAGGACCACAAAGTCTAAGTCAGCCCTTACTAAATATGACTGAAGAAGTTTTGTAGATCCTACAGAGAGAGTGTAGAGTGTTACTTATCATGTGGTCATGTTCCATGGGATGTTTACATGGGATGTCAGCCGTTATAGAAACAAATAAAATACTGAGATTCCCTCCCATTCTTTGTTGTGGTCAAAAAAACAGAGGAAAAAATGTAGCTGTCGATGAAGTCATTAAAAAAAAGCAAAAGGCAAAAAACAAACAAAAAAAACCCCTCAAGAATGGGAGCTTCAAAACTTCACAGCTTCAAGACTTCAACTTCAAAAGTTTGCCACTCAGCACCAGGTAAAAAAAAAAGTGAGGAGCTGAATTACAACTTACTTCCGCAGTCATAATCAATTTTTTGATAATTTAGTTAAATTCAGTTTTTTCTATATAGTGCCAAATTACTGCAATAGTAACCTCAAAGAAGCAGCCTAAAGATGAAATATCATTCCAAAATACACAACATGTATTTCACTCATGTAGTAGCACCACAGTGCAGTGGTTTACACATTTGGCTGAACAGCAAAAGATCCAAAGAGGAGATCCAAATCCGGAGAGGATTGTGTCTGGAGGGACATTTTTGTCAGTTCATGTAAGTCTGCCATATCAAATATGGAGCTCTACCCGCTGTGGTGACCCACTGTGAACAGCTGAAGTAGTTTTATTTGTTCATAGGCTGCAGCCTGTAAGCATTCACAGTGAGGACAGTTCCCCCATATTCAGTGTTATGATAAAGTGGACATATTATAATAGTTCTACAATATATGTAAGTTATGCTTTAAGTAATCTTTATGCAGAAAACTGAACCAGAGGACAAGTTTCTGAGAGTTAACAGCTTGCGTGATAGGCAGCTCACAGCTTAATAGTAGTCGTAGTAAGCAAGTCTCAGCTTCAACTGTGAAAGGAAGCCTTCGAGCTGTAGGTTTGACAGGATGAGATGCAGCAAGAAAGCCATTACTAAGACATCAGAATAAGACAAAGAGGCTTCTCTGGGCCATGAAACACCATCATTGGACTACTGAAGACTGGAAGATATTATGGACTAGAATCCATTTTGGTCTATAAACTGATCATCGAATGAGGAGTTCTGTAAATTAGTGTGTTCTTTTGGTATGGTGATCCATCCAGTGAGTCTGTGAGGGCTTGTGGTCAGTGAGCTTCTCTCTTTTTATGTTTCGTTAGTAGAGCTAAATCTGTCGTGGACTTCTGATAGCCTAGTGAAAGAAAATTGTGTGGGTTATAGGATCAATTTAGATAAACGTGTTCATTCCCTGGACCTCTGACTGTAGTTACTGTCAATGGTGCTCATCAAAAGCTGGAATAATCCTACTGATATTACTGACTATTGCTATTGTCATGAAT